GCTGGTGAGACTGCAAACTAGTACAACCTCTATGGAAAGTAATATGGAGATACCTCAGAGAACTAAAAGTAGAACTACCATTTGATCCAGCAATCCTACTACTGGATTACCCAAAGGAAAAAAAAGACATTCTATAAAAAAGACATCTGCACTAGAATGTTTATAGCAGCACAATTCACAGTTGCAAAGATGTGGAAACAACCCAAATGCCCATCAATTCATGAGTGGATTAATAAAATGTGGCATATATATGTCATGGAATAGTACTCAGCCATAAAAAATGGTGAACTAATACCTCTTGTATTATCCTGGATGGAGCTGGAGCCCATTATTCTAAGTAAAGTATCATAAGAATGGAAAAAGAAGCACCATAGGTACTCACCATTAAATTGGTACTAATTTATCAACACTTATATGCACAAATGAAAGTAACATTCATTGGATGTCAGCAGATGGGAGGGAGGAGGAGGGGATGGATAAATTCACACCCAACAGGTGTGGTGTGCACTGTCTGGGGGATGGGTACACTTGTAGCTTTCACTCCAGTGGTGCAAAGGCAATTTATGTAACCAAAGTGTAACATCTGCAATACTCTGAAATTTTAAAAAATCTCCATTTTACTGCTGAAGAAATAGACGTTCAAAGAGGTTGTATAGATTGCCCAAGGTGACAGGGCTCCTAAGTAGTTTATCTGGGATTTGAGCTCAGGTCTGATTCTGGAGCCCATTTCTACTAGAACATGGTTCCTTCCATTTTATTGAGATGCAGGCAAAAATATGTTATGCATTGGAATATTTATCTCTATCTACTGCATCTCCTTCAAGTATTATATTAATGTGTGTGCGCACCCCCCCCATACACACACATAATTTAAAAAAAATAAAGCCACCAGTTCCACTCTTGTGATAACCCATTAGCCCAAATATCTACTAACCCATTCCCAACACATGAAATTTGGGGTTAACATTCAAACTATAACACCTTCTTTCGAATGTTCACAGTAATTTTTTTATGTAACATCTTGACATCACAACTGAATGTTTGTGGTTACAGAAGCCTGTAAACATGTCATTTTTCATTTCTTCTGTGAATTGTGAATATGATCACCTTAAAATCCACTTGGGGGCCCAATTATAAGTGTGGGAGCTGCAATAAATAGGAACCTAAGGAGTTTACTTAGCTATGTAGAGGAATAAGCAGTGAAGAAGGGAGATTATCTTCTCTTTTGTTTTATGGCTTCCAATCTTGCTCTCTATCTCCTCCTCCTTCCCCTTCCTGGTGGTCTCCTGGGCTTTGGGGGCTGGCCTGGGGACAGGTACATAAAACTCCTTGGGTGGGGCAAGTGATCTAAACCCTGAAGTTTGGTCTCACGGGCAGAGAGGAACACAGAGGTAGAAAAGCCAAAGGTCTCTAAGCAGTAAATGTTTCCACTAAGTGCATTTGTTACAGTGGACAATACCACGGAGGCACAGAAAGTTTCCTGCAGGTTCCAAAGAGCTGGAGAGCTGCACGCAGAAGCCTCTGGAGGAAGGTTTCTGTCCGTGAAAATCTTCTTGGCCCATGAACAGAGCCAGAGGGAGGTTGAGAAGGGAGACTGGAAAGTGACAAAGCTGTGTGTATCCCCTAAGCCTCCAGAGAGGTGGAGATACATCGACAATTCGCATGATGCATGTATATGGGAGACAGGAAGGAACATTTCTGCTCTGCATAATGGACAATACGAATGCAAAACCATGAAGTAATGCGTTTCAGTATTTTCGAGCATAGGCAGACACGAATTCATGACATTGTGTTTCCACAGAAAGGTCCCAAGGAGGCAAATACTCTGCTCCTTCCCCAGCTGTCCCTTCTTCCCGCCCACTTAGGAGACAGTGTTGCTTAATTCATCCTCAAATCCTCCTCCAGGGTTCACCTTCTTTCCTTCCTGTAGAATCAGCACCTCTCTGCTGGCTCTTGCTTCAGCATCTGAATTTGCTCCCTCCTCCCCACCTTGAGGAGAAACTCGGTTCTCCTCCCTGCGTCTCCTCTAGGTCCAGCTTCCCTCCTTCTCACTTCCCTAGTCTCACTCTGGACTTCCAGATCAAGCCAACTGCCACAGTCTGAGTTTATTCTCCCTCCCTCCCTCCCTTTCTATCTCTCTCTCTCTTTCTTTCTTTCTAACAGAGTCTCACTTTCTTGCCCAGGCTACAGTGAGTGCCGTGGCATCAGCCTAGCTCACAGCAACCTCAAACTCCTGGGCTCAAGCCATCCTCCTGCTTCAGCCTCCTGAGTAGCTGGGTCTACAGGCATGTGCCACCATGCCTGGCTATTTTTTTCTATATATATTAGTTGGCCAGTTAGTTTTCTTTCTATTTATAGTAGAGATGGAGTCTCGCTCTTGCTCAGGCTGGTTTCGAACTCCTGACCTCGAGCAATCCGCCTGCCTCGGCCTCCCAAAGTGCTAGGATTACAGGCGTGAGACACTGCGCCCGGCCACAGTCTGAGTTTAGACCTCACCAGCTCTTGAGAGTTGCTCTTACCGAGGACGCCGTGCTTTCTAATTGCCACCTCCCACTGCCGCATAACCTGTTCGCAGCATACACACTGCTGCCCGCTCTCCTCTCTAGGAGCCTCTTCTACTTGGGCTCCTGTGGCAGAGGCTGCTAGTTAGTTACCTGCTCAATATCCAGACTTTCTTCCTCCTTATTAATTAGAACCCCCTCCTTTTCCTCACCCCCAAAGCATGTCATTTATCAGCTTCCTCTGCAGCTAGGGGGTGGCCGGGCAACAGTCCTAGCCGATGAGATCTAAGTGGAAGGTGTTGGTTGGGGCATCAAGGAAAGCCCCTTAAAGGGGAGCACACTCAGCTACCGCATGCATGCCCATCTACTTCCGACCCTTCTTTATTTTTCCTGCTTGGAACATGGTCCTGATGGCTGGGACTAGAGCAGCCATCTTGCAACATATGGAAAAGGGATACAATTATAGAGATGTGGATCCCACCATCCTGCAGTTGCTGAACTAATGCCAACAACTGCTTATTTCCGCACCTTGTTACTAAGAAAAATAAATCCCTGTCTTGTTTAATCCATTATCTGGGTTTTCTATGATGTGCAACTGAAACCCCTCCCTAACTGATACAGTTCCCATGACTATACCACTCCTGCCTCTCCTCCTATTTCTTAAAACTCTTCAGGGCCCCTCTTTTTCTATATCCCCCACATGTTAGTATTTTTCAGTTTCTGTCCCTGGTCCTCTTCCCCCACTCTTTCCCAAGTGACTCAGCTATGCCTTCTGCTTCCTAAGCCATGATGACTTCAAATCCCGCTGTCTGCACAGTAAATATCTCTGCCTGCCTCTTCCACAGGAGCCTCATAGACAATATGGTTATGTTACGCTTGCCAGCTTTCCTACCATTCTGCTCCTCCTCTGATCCCTGGAGCTAGAGACCCTCACCTTCCTCACCTTCCCTCACCCCCATACCTAGCTGGTCCCAAAATCCCATCAGAGCTGTTTCTAGGCGCTCTAGTTTGCTCCCACTTCTTTAATCCCACTGTCTTGTGCAGACTCCCACCATCTCTTGCCTGGGCCACTACATTTGCCTCCAAACTAGCTTCCTAGCCTCCCATCTACCTTCCCAATTGTTGCTGGACTGGTCTTTTGAACATGCAAATCTAATCATGCCGTTCCCCTTCAATAGCTCCTGGGCCCCCACTAGAAGTCATTCCAGAACTCCACCTGTGCATGAGCTGAGCCCTGCATAGCTTGTCCACGTCCCTTCCACTATGGCCTTGTAAAATCACCAGCAGTTTCCCAAACTGGCCGTGATTTTTCTCATTTCTTTGCCTCATTCTTTGTGCCTTGTAAGCTGAAGACTGTACAAAAATAAAGTTTTTTTTTGTTTGTTTTTTTTTTTTTTTTTTTTGAGACAGAGTCTTTGTTGTCCAGGCTAGAGTGAGTGCCGTGGCGTCAGCCTAGCTCACAGCAACCTCAAACTCCTGGGCTCAAGCGATCCTCCTGCCTCAGCCTCCCGAGTAGCTGGGACTACAGGCATGCGCCACCATGCCCGGCTAATTTTTTTTATATATATATCAGTTGGCCAATTAATTTCTTTCTATTTATAGTAGAGACGGGGTCTCGCTCTTGCTCAGGCTGGTTTTGAACTCCTGACCTTGAGCAATCCGCCCGCCTCGGCCTCCCAAGAGCTAGGATTACAGGCGTGAGCCACAGCGCCCGGCCAAAAATAAGGTTTTAAGAGAACATTTCAGATGATCTTGTCTTCCTGGGGAATCTCTCATCTTTGTGCAGAGAAACTCAATGGTAAAGACATATCAGAATTCCAAAGATTTTTGTATTGTTCATTTAACATAATTGCTTAATTACAATCCCCTTTTTAACCAAAGAATTTTCGGCAAGTTGCTTTGAGCCAAATGGATCCAAATAAACACCAGTTGCCTTTGTTTTCTTCCATATATTTTCATTTAAAATTTCACCTCATCCAATGTAAAACATCCCTCATTTTACGCTCAACAGGAAAAGAGATATTTTACTTTTAATGTGCTAGGTGTTACGGGATCCTTCTTTTTCTTTTCTTATTAAAGTTTGCCCCTAGGATCACAGAATTTTAGCATCCAGCTCCTTCATTTTCAAAATAGGAAACCAAGGCTCTGTTGGCTCAGAAACACGGCACCATGGAAGTGGTTACTGGTGGAACAACTTATACCCTGACTATGGATTCAGCTCTCTCCACCTCACCTGAAGGCACAGACCACCCCATCTCACAAAGAAGGTTCCCCTACCCTGTCCGCCATGAGAAGAGAGCAAAGTAGTCCCCAAACAGCCATTTAGGCTAATCCTCTTACGCTATTCCACTTAAGGCAAGATGACAACATAAGGGCTTTAGGAAAAGGAAAATCAGGAGAATTAAGTCCAAGGCTCTGTTTGCCCCAGGAACAGAACAGCCCTCTCCCCTCCTTTCTGACTCTGTGCCCCGCACTTGGGGCAGGTGGAGAGTCACTCACCCTCTGGGTGACGGGCTTGCCATCCTGGATCTGCACGGCCAGCCCCAGGTCGGAGAGCCTGCAGTTGCCGAGGTCGTCCAGAAGCACGTTCTCAGGCTTCATGTCCCGGTAGACAATGCCGAGGGCATGGAGGTGCAGCACTCCGCAGGCCATCTGGGCTGCGTAGAAGACCACCCGGCTCATGGCCAGGCCCCGCGTGCCCACGCTGTAGATGTGGAACTTGAGGTCTCCGCCATTCATCAGGCTCATGACCAGGCAGAGATGGGACTTGCTCTCAAAGGCGTAGGCCAGAGAGACGATGAAAGGGCTGCTCACCTTCTCCAAGATTTCCTTTTCCAAGAGAGCCATCTTCTCGCCATTTTTTTTCTTCAGTCGCTTCTTGTCTAGTTTCTTACAGGCATACATCTTACCAGTGTTTTTCACCTGGACGGCACATACCTTGAAGGAGAGAAAGAGAGAGAAGTAGATGGCCCTATAGAGGGATGGAGAGGGAAGGATGGAAGAGGAGGGGGCGGAAATCAGCCAAGGTGAAAGATGGCAGGCTTCTGAGAAAGGAGAAGCTGTAAGTAAGGAGGGTTCTCAAGAAAGAGCGGAGACTACAATAAGATAGCACTTCACTCCTCCTAGGTTGGCCATAATTAAAAAATATGGAAAAATAACAAACGTTGGCAAGGATATGGAGAAATTGGAACTTTCCTGCATTGCTGGTGGGATGTAAATGTGGAAAAGAGTTTGGCAGCTTCTCGAAAATTAAACATAGAATCACCATATGACCCAGTAATTCTACTCCTAGGCATGCACCCAAGAGACATGAAAACAATTATTTAAACAAATACTTGTACATAAATGTTCATAGCAGCACTATGCATCATAGCCGAAAGGTGGAAACAGCCAGTGTCCGTCAACAGATAAGTAGATAAACAAAATGTAGTATAGCCATGCAGTAGAATTTATGTAGCCATAAAAAGGAATGAAGTACTGATACATGCTATAATATGAGTGAGCCTCCATAACATTATGCTGAATGAAAGAAACTAGACACAAAAGGTCATATTATATGAAACATTCAGAATATGCAAATCCATAGAGACAGAAAACAGACTCAAGGTTGCCAGGGCTGGAGGAGAGGGGATAAGGAGGGACTGTTAATGGGCACAGGGGTGATGAAATGTCTTGGGTCTACATAGAGGTGATGGTCACACAACATTGCAATTGTGCAAAATGCCACTGAATTATACATTTTTAAGTGGTCAATGGTTAGTTTTATGTTATGTAAATTTTATAAAAAAATTTTTATTAAAGAAAGGACTGGGCAAAGCAGTAGTATAAAACACGTTCTCAACTTTACTTCAAGGTGTTTTCTTAGGTATCCATTTTTCTCAAATTACCTCCATTAACCCAACTAAAGGGAAAAGGAGATCTCCATCACTTGTTGCTATAGTTCTCCAAAGTGTTCAGGGCACGTCAGCATGTTCCAGATGTAAACCCCATGACAGATTCTTGGTCAAGTCCACATTTTGCTTGTCTCTCTTAGGCCACTTGTTTTTTTTTTTTTTTTTTTTTTTGAGACAGAGTCTCACTCTGTTGCCTGGGCTAGAGTGCCATGGCATCAGCCTAGCTCATAGCAACCTCAAATGCCTGGGCTCAAGCAATTCTTCTGCCTCAGCCTCACAAGAAGCTGGGACTACAGGCATGCGCCACCATGCCCGGCTAATTTTTTCTATATAGTTTTAGTTGGCTAATTAATTTGTTTCTATTTTTAGTAGAGATGGGGTCTCGCTCTTGCTCAGGCTGCTTTTGAACTCCTGACCTTGAGGGATCTGCCCACCTCGGCCTTCCAGAGTGGGATTACAGTTGTGAGCCACCGCTCCCAGCCTATGCCACTTGTTTTATTTGACATGGTTACCAGAAGGAAGGGAGGAGGGGAGAGTGGGCTGGGAATGCTCCACATGTGGCCCTGAAGCTAGTTCTAAGTAAACTCCCTTGAAATTAAAACAAAGGCAATATAACCCTGTTTTATGCTCTATATTTCACCATCCAACCTGGTTATTCAGACACTTACCTCCCCAAAACCACCTTTCCCCAGCACTCGGAACTCAGTGAAATAATCGTCTGACACTGGTTGCATCTCAAACAGTTTCCACTGCAGAAACTTGTCGTAGAAGGGGCTGGCCAGGAAATCCCTGAAGGGCTGCTCCTGCAAGAAGGCCATGGCTTCAGCCTTGGCCAGCTCCACCATGGCCACGCGCTCTTCCTTGGTGGTTGCCGCTTGGCACTTGGTAGCCAGCGCCGGGCTGAGGAAGGGGTGCGGGTGGTCCGGGGCAGGGCTGTGCGCACATGTGGCCACCAGCCCCTGCAGCATGCTGTCCTTGGTGGGCCCCTCCTCAGCGAGCTCCCAGCTCTGCACCTCCTCCAGGAAGGCCACAGCCTCTTGGTACGTGGGCACCGTGGCAAGGAAGTCACGGAAGAGGCGGCGGCCGATGGGCTGCTGCTCGCACAGGCTGTGGAAGTGCGGGGACAGCCCGCGGCGGAGCTCGGCGCAGCCCTGCGGCCCGGGCAGGGCCAGGCTCCGGCGCCGCCGCTGCAGCTCCTTGCTGTCGCTGTCCGAGGCCTTGCGGGCCTGCAGGTAGGCCGTGTTGGCGATCAGGTTGTCCAGGGCCCCCATGTCCACCATGGCCGAGCTCGGGGTGCACTCCCGGGGTGAGCGAAGGAAGGATTGAGGGCTGCGGCCGGCCTGTCAGGGCTGGTGGCCAGCGGGCAGGTTTTCTGTCTGAGGGTGAATAACTAACGGGATTTACAGCGAGTCTTGTAGTCTGCAGCTGGGACCCGTGCAGCATGCAAAGAGGTTTCTCTGGTAAGAAGCTTTGGCTGGCTATGTATAGCCGGCAGGGAACCGGCACCCGCCAGGTCACCAGGCTCCCACAAGCACCGGCGAATGGGACACCTGCCCGGGGCCACCTCCCCCACCAGCCCTGTCATCATGGGCCTTTCTCCACACACACCTGTTCCCTGAATATTCATTCAGCCATGCCAGTGTTCAAAGGGGGTAATAATAAGTTGTCATCTTATTTGTGGCTGGCAGCAGTATTTTAAACTGTTTCTAATTTTACATGTTTCCTACCAGGCTCAAGCTATGCAAACGCTGAGGAATAAAGGTCAGGAAAAGGGGCTGTGAGAAGTTGGAGAGGTTTCCTCCTCGTGTCTAGTAGCCTGACACAAAGAGCAGGTTACAGAGAGGGCTCTGCACTCTGCGTCCTGAGACACGCTCCCGGAGGCCCTGCCAGATGCTCGCTGACTGGCCTGCAGAAATCCTCCAGCGATGCCTTTCCTGGCTCTGAGTCATCTGTGACCTGAAGGACCTCGGGTTTAAAAGGGAGAAGGGGGTCATCTCAACCCAAAACATGCCATGAGGTGAAATGAGCAGAAAAAGCCATATGCCTGGCCGGGCGTGGTGGCTCACGCCTGTAATCCTAGCACTCTGGGAGGCCAAGGCGGGTGGATTGCTCGAGGTCAGGAGTTCGAAACCAGCCTGAACAAGAGTGAGACCCCGTCTCTACTATAAAAATAGAAAGAAATTAATTGGCCAAGCAATATATATAGAAAAAAATTAGCCAGGCATGGTGGTGCATGCCTGTAGTCCCAGCTACTCGGGAGGCTGAGGCAGGAGGATTGCTTGAGCCCAGGAGATTGAGGTTGCTGTGAGCTAGGCTGATGCCACGGCACTCACTCTAGCCTGGGCAACAGAGTGAGACTCTGTCTCAAAAAAAAAAAAAAAAAAAAAGCCATATGCCTGAAACACAAAGGGAGTCAGCCTGGAGTCTGGGCTCTGAGAGAGACAAGAATTTTCCATGACCCCGAAGGCAGAAAGCACGCCACCCCACAGCATGTGGTCGGGACCGTTCCAAGGCTCCATCTAATGAGTGGTCCCTGGATGCCAAGGAGCCTTCCCGTTGAGACAGAGAGCAGCGAAGTTGCAGGCGAGGCGCCCTGACGCCTCCGCTCACTCTCCTCACACAACAAAGAAGCTTCCCTCCATGAAGGACACCCAGAGCTGTCACAGATCACGACCTCGCCAAGACAGAAATTGATTTAGACAGAGATCAGGCTAAGAACCTCTGCTCCAAGAATAACAACTTGAGTCCTACAGGGAAAGAATACTCAGGCTTTTTCTTCACAAAGCAAGGCTAAGGCAGCTTAAAAACAAAGTCATTCAGTATTATGCCAGAGTGTTTAAAAGAAAAGAGAGAGAGAGAGAGAAAAGGGAAAGGGGGGGGAAGCGCTAGTCAGTCTTTTTCCAAACAAACAAGCTCTAGTGCACACTTTGTCAAAACATCGCCAGCACCGCCTCGGCCTGCCTGTCAGAGCTCCGACCACGCCCCAGGACAGAGACGCACGCGGCCTCCGCTACCGGGAATTATGTAATGAACTCGTGGGTGCCCTGTGGGTGCCCTTTGGCTTTGCACTGCTGCGCCGCGCACGGCCACCTCTGTCGCAGAGGCGGGCGATCTGCTCGGAATCAGGAAACGTTGGTCCTTTCTTGTTCTTGATACCCCGGGTCCACATTTCTGAGTAGTTGAAAACCAGTCCAAGAATTTCTTCGGGGGAAGAAATGCCTTTTCCTGCGGTTCTTACCAATGAGGTGGCAATCGAACAGGGTACAACTTTTGAGAAAATGGTAGAATTGTCATCACCTCATCACTGGAGAAAAATGCTCTCCCTGACAAATTGCATGCGATGAACTGCTGGCTTCCACTCACACTAACCCTTTCTTTCCTCTCTGAGCAGTCACTTAACCCACCGGTGTCCAATAGAAATATGTGAAGCCACATATGTAATTTAAATTTTTCTAGTAACCACATTAAAATGATAAAAATAAAACAGGGGAAATTAATAATTATATTTTGGTTAGCTCAATATATCTAAAAGATTATTTCAGCATGTAATTGATACGAAAGTTGCTAATGGGATATTTTACATGGTTTTTGGTTTCTCAAGTCTTCTGGTTTGTATTTAACACTTACGACACATCTCAATCCCAGCTAGCCACATTTCACATGCTAAGTAGTCACATGTAGCTACTACTTACACAACACAGAACGAGCATTTATTTATGCAACTTTGTCATTCACAAAAAAAGAGAAAGTTTTTTTTTTATCATTTGTTTTCTAATAAGTAATACCATAGACCCTCTGGGTAAAAATGTTACTCCCTTATTAATTAAAAATTGTCTGACAGAATTATGAGAACAGAATTTAAATAATATTTGTCAAAAAATTTAGAAGTTATAAAGTGACAATATGGTACCTACTGGCAATTTTAAACAGAATACTGTTATTTTTAAAGTTTTACCCACCTGATAATATAGAGAGATTTATTTAAAATGTGATACTTTATATGATTGCTAACAATAGGATCCGGAGCTTTTCTGGAGGAAATAGTAATTATAGGTCCAATTAAAGAACGGCACTGAATCTTTGCCTTAGAAGTGGAGCCAGGTGCTGGGCACAGTCAGGATCCCCTGTGCCAAGTGGGGAAAAATACCAGAAATCTTGGATTGGAGGTGTGACCCCACAGTTATGAGAACTAAGTCCAGCACTACTTGGGAGATCCGAATCCCAGCTTTAGGAGGTCCCAGCTGTGTGACCTTCAGCAAGTTACTTAACTTCTCTGAGCCTCAGTCTCATCACCTATAAAAACAGAGATAATACATGCTGATCCTTGGGTAAGCTCTAATGCCAAAAGAATTGATACAAGTCTTTTGATAAATTGAGAAAATTTTAGAATTGATAAAATTCCACAAAGAATTGATTTAAAAAGTATTAGCTTTTAAATGATGACCATCAATCATCAAAATTTGGCCCAAAATTATGCTTTTCTAATGTGCAGATTGGAGGGGGGAGAGACCCGTGTGATGTAGAAGACGGGCTCCTGTGTCCAATATGCACCTAGTAGAGAGCAGCTACTCTGGGTTTGCTTGTGAGCTTGGAAAGCTGAGGTGCTCCATGGAGCTGGAAGACATGGAGGTCAGATTCATTAAATGACATGCAAGATTTCTAACAACAAACTATTGGAACTAAATGACTTACTATATTCTACCATAAAAAGAAGACTAAACTCTGTCGTATGAAAAGAGGAGATCGTTCATTTTGAATGAAATATCGTAACTTTTATGATAGTAGAAAGCAACTAAAATATTTTAGCAATTTTTATGACTAATTTTGTAACCCAGAGAAAAGAAAAAACAATGCTCTCTGCCCAGGTCTTTCATTACCGTTTGTATCACTTAAAGCAACAGTCTCCAACCTCTTTGGCACAGGGATCAGTTTCATAGAAGACAGTTTTTCCACAGACCAGTAGCAGGCCATGGCCCAGGGGCTTGGGGACCGCAGATTGATAGTATTATTTACGGTGTGCATGTTCATCATTTTAAAATGCTCTAATGTCATACAACATTTGAAACACAAAGAACATAAAAAAAGTTATAGGTTAATGGTTAGCAGTAAGGTATGCTTGGTTTGCTTTCTTTCTAAGGATTTTTAATGTTGAAAATATACCTAAGGTTAACTGTTCAGGGAAAATAGTAAAGTTAGGTTCCTGGTAAGAATGTGACCATCCTTTAAAATGTGCAATTCTCTGCATGGTCCAATAAGACATCTATTTGAGGATCAAGAATTATGAAGTAATATAATGTGCTATTATATGGTCTCAGAAACAAATAGAAGATTACTTTGAGCAGTTTAAGTTCTGAAGCAGAACTCTCATGTGTTAGCATTAAGATACTCCAGATTATTTTTCAACTTCTGACTTGAATCCTTCCATAGTAAATGTTTTTTTGCTATTTTCCCTCAGTACAAACCCTCCACTGGAAGGTAAAGCAATGAGGTCTTCACTTTCCTAACAACCGCTGGCCACACTATATATTTTTGTAATTTGGAGTAACCAAAAATACCTTGTTGGTTTTTATTTTATTTATTTATTTTTTAAAAGCTGTTAGTACATGTTGCCAAATTTCTTCCCAGCTGTAGTAATGTATGATGTTCCCTGTAGTGCCCTTGTTGGTTTTTAAAAAATACCTTGTGGTAATTCATTACAGTAGCCACAGAAAAGTATTACAGGGGCTGTCTGGTAGGAGCTGGGACCACAGTAGGAGAGTCTGTCCAACGGGAGCTGAAATATTGGAAGAGATGCAGCCACTGCCAGAGAAGGGATCCTACATGAGGCTGAGAGAGGGGGACAGATACCCTGGCATCTCTCCGCATTGGCAGAATCTGCCCACAAGCCAGAGGGCAAGGGAGGCTGGGAAATGAAGCTTGCAGAGCTTGCCTGGGGCAAGCCCCTCCCCCTGGTTATACAGATCAGAGAAGGGCAAAGTCAGGGAAAGTATGAGAACAAACAGGATGGTCACCAGCACAACTCCCACACCATTGTCAGTCAAGCCACCTGCTAAGGATTTGCTCTCTCGTAAGAATGATGGTAGACAACTACAGTTGGTGGTTATATTTGTGTTTCAAAGATCCCGCCGGCTGCTGTGTGATGAATAGAGTGGGAGCAGCAGCCCAGGTGAGCAATGATGGTGGCAGTAGACAGGGAACAAGCAGAAGGACTCGTAAGCTATTCAGAAAGCAAAATGGACAGGAGATGGTGATTATGGAGGGTGAGGAAGAGGGAGATGAAGGGGTGACTCCAGGGTTTTGGTTTGGGAGATCTGAATGACAGTAATGTCATTCACCAAGATACGGAAAACCTGGAAGAAGGTGTGGTTTAAGTTCAGTTTGGGGCATGTAGAGTTTGGGGTGCCTGTGACACATCCAAGTGGAGATGGTAGGTGGGCAGTTGGATTTAAGGGTCTGGAGTTTAGAGGAGAGGTCTGGGGGAGAAACACATTTGCAAGTCATCGGGGTATAGATGACAATTGATGTAGGCATTGAAGAATCCTTGGGGGAGAGAGTGCTAAGTGAGACTGAAGAGGGAGTAGGACTGAGCCTTGAGGATCTTCAACCTTTATCAGTCAGGGAGAGGAGAGGAGCCTGGGAATTGCGGCAATTGATCGGGTGAGATGGAAATCACGGGGTCCTGCAGCGGAATGCAGGTGGCGCAGTGAAGTTGTAAGCTGCCTGGAGTGGGTTGCACAGGGGAGGAGGATGAAAAAGTGGAGGTTGCAACAGCAGAACTTTGGCTGTGAAGAGGAGGAGAGATACATGACGGGAGCTGGAGGGAGAGAAGAATTCATGGTGGTGTCTTATGCATGTTACAAGCTGACAGAAAGGATCCAGGATAGAAGACAAGGTTAAATATATAAGAAAAAACATGTAGGTTTCCTGAGAAGGCAGAGGAGGGGTGTTGAAAGCACAGGTGAAGGCTTGGCCACAGGGAGAAGAGCAGCTCTGCAGTCAGAACAAGAGAGAAGGAGGGTGGGTCTGGTTGCAAGGGTAGCTCGGTTTAACAGAATAGCCATGGTACAGTGCGGTTAAAGGCCATTCTGGAGGTAGG